GAAAAAATAAAGAAATTGATGGTGGAATTGCGATCGTTAGGATTATTGTCCGAATCAGCATCGGTATAGGCATACATCTCAAGAGAAGACATCAACAAGAACAAGAGACTCTAAAACTGAGGACCACAAATATATCTTAAAATACGAAGAACAATTTCCTAGTGAACAGTGGTAGGAACAATGACAAATTGACTAACCACATAGGTCATGTATGGTCGAGTGATTGTAAGGAAAACCAAACTGGCAATAATAGTGTGATACATACTCACATTTGATAAAAGAATGCCATCAGTTAAAGAATATCATGCATTGGTTTCAAGAGGCATGTCAACAATCTAATCGTTAGAAAGACATGCACATTTAGCCCTTTTGAGATTAAGGAACCACAATACCCAAAAAATAACAAAGCAAGTTGAAGTCTTTCATAGCAAAACGGTGAGCCAAATCGCTTCGAATACTCAATGCCATCACAATCATAACTCCATCAATGATAATAACCATGTCATATGCATATAAGAATATGAAAATCCAATCTACACCCGTGCATGTACCAAACAATGTTGGAATCATGATTACTAACAAGAAAATCAACATAAGTAAATACCATAGATAATTTCTCAAACCAAGCATAATGGGCATGTCTAAGACCACATAAAGCTTTATGAAGCCAATATACTCTACGACAGGTAAGCAATGCATATGGAGGAGCACAAGGGGCTTATTTAAGACCATAAAAAGCTTTTATAAAGTGTTTTAGGATTTGTTGCAGTAGAAGTGTTCGGTTATAGTAGTTGGGAACTTCTGAAAACTGTAAAATCATATAAAATCTACATTTCATACTTGTTAATAAAAGTCACCCAAGTTTCACAATTTTTTCTATGTTCATCACTTTGATATGCTATAACATGTTTAAATAGTCATAATAGATTTTTTTTTCTCAAAGTTCAATAGGTTCATGAGATTTTTGACACTAACACTTTGATGTTAAAGTATTCCACTAAAGCCACTACTTAAAAAAAAAAAAATCAATTATAACCAATTATTATAATAATTTTCATGTATTTCTCCCTCTAATTAACTCCAAATTCCAAAAACTATAACAAAAACCTTAAATCTGATTCAATTTAAAGTTTGACCCAATAGGTTACTACAAGTTAACACTAACATTACATCATATCAATTTCTCAAGCAACAAAAGTATACCTACCAATTTGTCATACTAAATCTTCCAATCACAAACACATGATCTAAACAAACACATTTCCATAATTTACAACATCCAGAGCTTCAACCCGCCATTGTAGAATACTCAAAACATCATGATGAAGACACATATAGCAATCTATTAGTTTTATCACTTAACAAACGGAATCCCAGAAGGAACCCTTTTAGCAAACTCATCATACTCCACCCCAAAAAACTGTCTCAAAAAGAACTCCTCATATGGTATTCTTCTATGAAAAAAGTTCCAAACAACTAATGAAAACCCAACAGTTGAAACAGGATTACACAGCATTATTTGAGTCCCAACTGACCAAATCAAGAATCCTGTGTACCCTGGATGACGAACAATGCTATAAACTCCATGAGTCACAAGTCTATGATGATCCTCATGATGTCTTTGAATTAAATGAGTGAAAGCTCTTCCAGCAGTTATGATTGCAAGTTTTCTTATGATTTCCCCAAAGATAACCATTAAAAGTCCTAAATTGCTTACCCACCAGTTTTCTTTTAGTTCAGGGAAAAAGTATAGTTCAAGTAAGTATTCAAGAACAGAAAAGATCATTGCAAAGATGTAGTGTTGGCTGATTAAGAGGGATTTAAGAGTTACATTCGATTTCCCATGAAATTTGATTGCTAAAAGGTATTCAGAGCCATGAAAGAAGAGTATCGCAAAGAACATTTGTGATAATTGTCTGGAGGCAGTGTGGCTGAATGCTTCTGTCATGTTTTACAGATTGATTAAGATTTAAGAGAGATTTTTTTGGAGAAGAATGAGGTTTAAGTCAACAAGGTGTAGGAATTTGATCGAGTAATAAGGTGAGTTTTACTTCAGACCTGAATAGGAAGAGCTGTCCAGAAGTTGAAATACAATTTGGGTATTCAGGTCACCCAGAAAGTGCTTCAAGGAGGACATTTCTGCAAACAATTAGAAGAGCATGATCATTTTCAAATAACAATCCAAGCAAAAGGATTCAATAAAAATATGAACACTCACTCACACCTACAAATGGAGATTGAGCTTGATAAAACAGGTTGAGGCCTTTATGATTTCGTTTTATACTATGAGATGAATTGGTTTGAATTCATTATCAGAAAAGCGAATAAAGATTGAGAAGCAACGACTACTTAGGGGCCGAGGCTGAATTCAAGATTTTATTTTTATGAACCCTAAACCGCTAAAATTCCAAATTGACACAATTAAACAGCGCTATTCACTATAAACAGTAGAAAAGACACCTGAATTAGACAGAATATTGGCAGAAAACATCGAGTTTTACTGCGAATCAAACGCACAACTAAACCTCGTTTAGACTTGATTGTTGTGGTGATTAAAATAATAAAAGGAATTCTAGCAAAACTTACACAGAAATAGGTTAAATTTCGTAGAGCAACGAGGAGAAAACCGATGGGAAGCTTGATCGCGCCGCCGCTGGCGACTGAGAGAGCACCGTCGCTTGGAGACTGGAACAGTAAGGTTGGATCTGGGATTGGGGCTTGAGCTTGACCTGGAGCTCAGGGACTATCGCAATTTGCAATCTTTCCAAATAAACAAATTTTGTTTAACTATTTAGGGGTGTTTGCTTAGTTTTTCAAACCCCCATCATTTTTGAAAAGTTACAAAAAAATTACAAAAAAATTAGGATTTCTGACTTTTTCAAAAAGTTTAAAAACTTCAAAAGTAACTTCTAAAACTAGTTTGTCAAACATCTTTTGTTTTTTTTTCTTTTTCAAAAAGGACTTCTAGCTTTGAAAAGTTAAGCCAAACACCCTCTTAATACGTTTAGAAAATGCATTATAAATAAATTTTAAGTTAATTACTAATCTAGCCATTTTCTTAACCACTTATCAAAAAATAGCAAAAATATACCAATTAGCCAGAAATAGCCCTTAAAACCGTAGTCAACTTAGGGTTGACTACGGTCAACGCTATTGACTGATGTTTTATTAAGAAAACTACTGTTTTATGCTAATTGGCTACTGTTTCATCGGCCCGTTTACTTTTTCATAGCCCATTAGCCCAAAGTATATAAAGAAATTTTTTTCAGTTTAGATCATTTTGTCTATTGTTTTCTTTGTTTTGCATACTTTTTTCTCAATGCATAGATTGTGCATTATCGACTTGTACACCTACGGTTTCGTATGAACCGTACGGAAATTAAACTTTTTTTTCGTTTTTTTTTTAAATTGATTCAATGGATCGGAATTATGTTAGTTTTGTAATCGTGTATTTAAAAAAAAAAAACAAAAACAAAAACAAAAACAAAACGATAGGTATTATGGAAACCTACGGTGTACAAGCATTTACTGCACATTTTGTGCAGTAAACACTTGTACACCGTAGGTTTCCATAATACCTACCGTTTTGTAATTTTTTTTTTAAATAACTAATAAACATTTTTTTTTAAAATAACTAATAAACATTTTATTTTTAAAATAACTAATAAACATTTTTTTAAATAACTAATAAACATTTTTTTTTGAAATAACTAATTTTTTTTTAAATAACTAATGTGACACCATTTTTTTTAAAATAACTAATAAACATTTTTTTTAAAATAACTAACAAACATTTTTTTTTAAAATAACTAATTTTTTTTTAAATAACTAATGTCACACAATTTTGAAAGTACAATGCTAAATTTGGTATACTAGTAGTATAGAAAATATAAAAAAAAAATGTAGTCAATTAATTTCTTTTGGTATTTCATACAAAGTAAATAGAATATATAAAATAATTAATTCTTATATTGTGTGTTTTTTCTAACTGTTTATCAGTTTTTTTAGTTTTTATAAAACTTTATTTAACCTTAATGTTTATTTCATTTTGTAGCTTCCAAATAAATCGATGATGGGTCACTTATCTGTCAAAGCTTCATGCCATAAATTGCATGAAGTTTTGAGTCGCTTGAATGGATCCGTACGCGATCTGTTTCAACAACTAGCTTTAGTTACTTGTTGGACTTACCAGCTCAGTCCGGAGATGGACTTCTTATTCATGGGATGTTACTACATATGTTGCGTCCTATTGCTGAAACGGACGCAGCTAAACACCTATATTTTAGGTTTTCTAGACGTACGCTATCATTTGGGCTGGAGGAGTTTTGTCTGGTGACCAGACTTTACATGGATCGGTGTCCTAACTCAATGATCGAATTTTCAACCATGTATAAACACGGTTATGGTGAAAATACATTTCGGTCCAGAGTCTTCCCATATCGCACGAACACTTCTTTAGTTGTAGAAGATTTAGAGCTTCTTATCTTGAATCAACGGTTCAATGACATATCGGCTCAAGACGATGTTCGTGCCATTTTGCTATATATCCTCAATCAAGGTTTTTTTGGGAAATGAGCTTAATGATAAAGTCACCAAGGAATATTTGTGGGTGGTGGAGAAACTGGATCGATGGAATAGGTATTTGTCAATTTAACATTTATAATAAAATACTAATTTTTATACATTTAAATAATACTTATTTCTTATAATATAGGTTATCGTGGGGGAGTTATCTATGGAGTAAAACATACCCTAAATTGTCGGGTATGTTTAAGAAATTTGAAGATTATATGTCCAACCATCCAACAAAAGCGATTGTGTACACACTATCGGGTTTTGTTATTCCGTTGAATGTATGTTTTACTAATTAAAAAAATATATTTAATAATTTATCGGTTTTTATTTTATTTTTAAAATTTTAGTTATTGCTAACTCTTATAAATTAACTTATATTTATTACAAGATATGGATATGAAAGATGCTTCCAGCAATCCGGGGAAATGGTGCGATACGACAAAATTATTTATATCCGTGTATATTGCACTGGTTTCATATTAGAAGGTTAACTTGGGTAAAAGTCTGCGATCTTTTCGATGTTGATCAGGACGAGGCGCATCAATCGAAAAGAAAGATGGTTGCCTCAGATGCCGAGGCCTCTACTCCACATTATATGTCATATATTTCTAGTATGAATTGTGAATTGTCTGAAGCCCCATCTTTTGTACGCTAATGATGTAAGTAACTTTGTAAAAGCATAATTTAGTATAATAAAAAATTTCAAGTGTTATTGATATATGAAAAAATTTACGTAGGGGGCATCTTTGTCAAAAACAAGCTGTGGAAACAGCCAATCTTCCAAGTCTACCGAACGAACTCATACGTTGGAAATTACCAAAAAGACCGCGCGAGAAATAATAGCAAGACTTGAATCTTTGGAGGAAGAAATCCGAGGAATGAAAAATAAAGGTGGTACTCGAGACGGTGATGATTTGGAACAGTCTTTTAATGACGCTTTTGAGGTATTACTATCAATTAATAATATATATGATATATTATTTAAATTTTTAACGAAGCTTTTTATTAAGTATTTTTTTCTTTAAATGTAGGGGAATGAGGATGTGGTATATAGTCCACAAAAATCAAATCCACTTAACGAGGATGATCATGTTGGTAATTCACCAGGGGATCATTCTAGAAAACAAATCGCGGTGGTGGTTATTTTTTTTCCTTTGTTTTTTTATTAAATTTTTTATTTTTTCAAAGTATATTAAAAAATGAATATGTTTTTTGTAGAAGAAGAAAAAAAAAAGGAGGTTGTTGCTAGGGACATTGTGGATGCGGAAAATCATGTACCCAGGCCTGCTGTTAAAGAAGGTCGTCCGGTTAGGCAATTGAAACCTTGTCAATATCTTAGTTCTCCTTACGTTTCGGTAAGTATGGTAAAAATTATATTTACTGCAATTTCATTACTATATGGATAATTATTGACTACATATATAATGTAGGTTCAAAATGCCCCCCGATATCGTACATGTGGGGTAATACACAACGCACAACCGCCCCCCGTATTTGTCAGTGATCCCTCGGCACTTTTTTTGGAACCGTATGTGAATCCGGGTTGTAATGCTCCTGCTCTATACATGGCAAACAACCTGGCTGTTTTTTTGAAACATCGGTTGCACAATGAAAAAATGGAAGCAAGGTTTTGGGATCAGCTTTTTTATGCAACTGAAATGGGATTTTTAGAAGAAGCGGTATGAAGACATTCATTTATATTTATAATATAAAAAGTTTACATGATACTTATCTTTCAATTAAATTTAAATGCAACATGTTGACCTATGGGGAAGGCTTTTGAATGAGCGGAGATCGAACGATGCTCGATGGACAATCATGCCATCGTCATTTTTTTTGGTGGGTTTGAGATGTTCCAGTGGGCAGGAAGTGCAACGGGAAATCCATTTGACCCATTGGATGGATGTAAATCATGGCTGAAAGTTGACCGTGTAAGTAAAGAAATAATATATTAGTGAATTTAATTGTAATTAATTGCAACAGTTGTGTGTTAAAACAGGTTTACTTTCCAATATGCATCAACCCACATCATTGGATACTTGGCGAGTTATGGATGGACACGTTGGCATTGAATTTGTACGACAGCTTCCAATTATTTGGCGCCATGAAGATTATTGATTTTGTTCGGTTTGAAGAGCTTATGGACCGCATTCTGGTGGAAATTAAGTATTGGAACCACATGGGTTTTCCTGTTCAGAAAGCATCCCTCACTGTTACAGATGTTACGGACGTACCCCAACAAGAGGGGATGTATGGAGAGTGCGGTGTGTTTATGCTGATGTTCATGGAGCAGCTTGTTTCAGGTCGACCGATTGGTATATCGATGACACTTGTTGTTGCTGCTACTCAGTGTCGTTAAAGGATGGCCTTGATATATTATGGATTTTCTAAACAGTCGATTTTGAGTTAGTCCGAGTTGTATGTTTTTAGTGACATTCAATGTGTCCTGTTTGATGACGATTAGTTAACAAAATTTCCCCTAATTATTAAACTTAAACAAAATATAAAGAGAATAGTATATATTATATAGATTAATAATAATAAACAAGCAAATATAAAACAGGTTAACATAGATAAACTCATAAAAAATGCATAAACTTACTACTTGATTAATCAAGAATTATTAAATTCAAACATCTAGAAAATCACTTGGAAATTTTGTTTTTTCTTGAATCACTCAGTCGTAATTTTTTTGTATGTCTTTGTGAATCTTTTTCATTTTGTTTTTTCTTTAATCCCTATGTAATCCTACTTGACTATTATTTGCTACTACTTATATTTTTAAGTAGATGTGGAGTAACCTAAGATTGTGGTTTTAAGTCCCTATGTAAGCATGTAATATTTGAAAATTGTAATTGTTTTGTTTTTAAGCGAAATTGCACTTCGTGATGAACATTTCTATGTTAAGCAAAATTCTCTCATTCGTAATGAATTTTGAATGTGATACATTAGAACTTTACAACACACATCTTAAAAGTGATACACTACAACATTCAAAAATTGAGAATTAAATCATCTCACTTCGGTGTTTGACTCCATTTTAGAAAACCCAACCTTACATAAGAATTCACATTTTTTTTAAAGTTTTATTTATATAGATGCAACACCTACTTTTTTTTTTAACAAAAACCACACTGACATTATTTGACTACAGTTTTATAGATTTTGACTACTATTTGCTAGCCTGCACAATATATTGTCATTTCGAATAGTAGACTTGTCATTTCGAACTGTATTTTTGTGTAAGTTGTATGACAAATTGAATACTATTTGACAGTATTCGACTACTGTTTTACCTACTTTGACTACTTTGTAGCCTGCATAATGTATTGTCTTTTCAAAATGACTACTCTAAAAACGAATAATTACCCAGGCATTCGACTTGAAATGAAATTCATTTATAGTGGACACCTAGTTCATTGAGATATACGAATTGGAAAAATGAGTGGATTCAATGAGGTATACAAAAAAAAGTTTTTCAAACCTACCAATATTCTTTCATGATCTTCAAAGAACTAATCATAACTCTTTCACAATCATTAAGAAAGATATGAGAGACCGGTTTCAATTTTGTTTTGTCGCATTGGGATGTGTGGTATGTCCATCTCTATACTAAGTTATTCTTTATTTCAAGTTCATATTTGCCTAATGTTGGTATCGTTTTTTGCAGATTACTACCTTTCTCACATCCATGATACCAACAATATTTGTTGGTATTGTACCCCTTATTGGGACCAACATAATGACGATGTATGTTGTTGTTGCTTTGGATGGTAATCATGAACCCTTGATCATAACATTCGCTTTGTGAAGTGTAGATTGTGACGAGGCTTGGATTTGGTTCATGAGAAGGTTAAAAGAATGTTTAGGTGACACTATTGAAGTTGGTTTCATAAGCCATATGTCTCGTTCCATATACTACGCCATTCAGCGAGTATACCCAGATTCATATCATGGGTATTGTTGTAAAAGTATAGCCGATAAAGTTCGGGCTTCCACAGGAAGTACCATTGTGGAACATTTGTTCTGGAAGACATGCAAAACTTATAGTGTGTCTGAATTTTATGTTTGTTTGAACAAATTAACAAATGAGGTTAATGGGAATGATCTTCAATGGCTTGAAAATATTGCAATTGCAAAATGGGCTCGAGCCTTTTTTCCTAAAGTCTGTTTCAATGTGAAATATATCAGCATTCCGACTGGATTGAATTGGCTAACAACAAACATGCATGAGTTACCAATAACGTCAATCATTGAAGTGGTCCATCAATCGATACGAACAGTGTACGACTATCGCGCTGCATTGGGAGGTAAGAAATATTTGTTGTTTATATTTTACCTTAATATACCTCATTTATTATTGAAATGTTGAAATACAAATGGATACCACATATTCCATGATGGGCGTGAGGAAATATATTTGCAATTGACGTCGCTATGGATGGAGCCCTATCAGATATGAATGTAAGGTCTTCCACGTTGCCTATACATTCACGTAGTTTTCGAAGAAACCAGGACCATGTCTCCGTACATTCACTTTTGCATATGGCATAAGCAACAGGCAAAATATGATTTTGACCGTCCATTGTCACTACGAGCAACATCGTACCATTGAATTCACCCTTTAGGTGACCACCATTAATTATTAGTGTCGGCCTACAATATTTGATGAACGCTTGTACCTACAATTATTTTTTATTTGATTAACAAATACAAATTGAGAATCATATGTTATATTTGTTATAAAAATTATCACGGCTTACCGAGCAACCCAGCTGTCACACCCCCGAACCAGCCGGCTGAAACGTCCGAGGCTGTCGTGACTTAATTGAATACCATAACATTGAATATATATGGAACATAACAACATTCGTCACCATGCATTAATATAGTACAACCGATAAAGTTTACATGAAGTACATTGTTTAAACATTTCATTCCCAAAAATAAATTGTTCGACTCGTTAATAAGTAAACTGCAAGCCATCACTGGGTACATTTTTCCTTTGAATCACTGGTTACCTGAGAATACAAGTATTTTGAAAAACGTCAACATGTGAAATGTTGGTGAGTTCATAAGCGGTATTTGAAAAGCAATGTTTGTATCATTTTGAAAACCACCAGAAAATCCGATATTTTCTAAAAAGAGCTTTTGAAAACGTTGGTGAAGATCCATAGGTATGCTTGTTTGTTTCTATAGTTGTAAGAAAAATGTTCATCAAAATTGTGTACATTTTGAAAAACGTGTGTATTGAAAAAAAAAAAACCCTAGGAAAACCCGATGTTTTCCTAATTCTTTGAATTCCATGAAGTTAAAGATAAATCCGTTGCAGCGCGTGAAGTCATTAATCCCAGGCGACATCGGATTATTTTTGCGCATGATTAATTGCTATAAACACGCGTTACACAAACGACCCGTTTATAACTATACTAACGATCCCGTAGGCGTCGTCCGTACTAATCATGTTATCCGACCGCCCTGACTTCGAGTAATCCCACATCCGAAGAGAAAGAGGACACGAAGACCCCGATGACTCCATTAACCGGTTGGGGATAAAAAAGGTACGAGGGGCCCTTGACCCGCCTCGCATAAAATACCGACTTTACTAGCAATACCATAGGACCCTTGGGGACCAATAGTATAAATGCCATTGAAAGTCCTTTTACGCTGTGTTAGGTCACGTAAGACCCAACAACTCGTAAGGTAGAAGTCTTCGGGCCTTAAGATCAGGTCATTGGGCTAGCCACGCCCAACAAACAAGATTTTACTCTTTGGGGCCCAAAGATGGTGCGTAGACGTCTGTGCACTCTCACGTGTGTATTCAATTACCAAATGTTTTCGTGTATGAGTCGAGTTATCGTTGTGTTAGTAGTTTTGGATTATTATTGATTCGAGACCGAATCAATTCGTTTAACAACGATTTTTGGTATTGTTGTGTATTGTGTCGGTAGTCGCGGTGCCAATATTTGATCAAGTTGCGTGTATTGAATTAGCCTTGAAAGTTTTCTGTTTTCAGCCCCTCATTGTTTGTAAAATTTACTTTTTCAACCCTCTAATTAAATAACTTTCCGGTTTGGTCCTTAAATCATTTTTCTTGACATTTTGACACCAAAAATTATTGAAATTAATATTTTTCAGCATATTTTTCATTGAAAACAGTTTAAGTTCCTGAAATTGCAGTTTTCTCGATTATAACCCCTCTTTTTCGCAATTTTTACAATTTTGGCCCCAATTGGAAAAATTTTGCAACTTTGGTCCTTTTTAAATTTGAAAAGCATTTTAAACCTTTGAAAAGTACTTGTAACACTAGTAGTCCACTGTTTTACAAAAAAAAACACAGTTTTGGCCCTCCAAAACAGAAAATTTCGCATAATGGGCCCTATTGGGCCGAAATTGTCATTTTTAGCCCATTAAGCTTGAAATTTATATTTTTAATCCTCCAAATGAGTATATTTCCAGAAAATATTTTATTGAAACTGTTTTGACACTCCTCATCCATCAGAATTCGTGATATGTCATTTTGGGCCCTTTAACCTTATATTTTTAACATTTTATGTCCATAAAAAGAGTTTTTAGCCCAAAGAAGATGTTATTAAACCATTTAGCTATTTTTCTTGGAACATTTTGTATGTAGAATTATATTTGATGCTAGTATCATTTAACATAAAGTATATCTCGATTTTTAGAGGTTTATGGCTAGATCCAACATCATAAACACACAAAATCACACATATAAGCATAGAAATCATACAAGGCATACAAAACACATATAGATCTACACTTTCACTTGTATCCCCCCCCCCACAAAACTCATAAAAACAGAAAATAGGGGGTATGAAGCTCACCTTTGGGTGTTGATTCGGTTTTTGAAGAAAGGATGGAAGAAAGCTTGGTGATTTTTGACCCTAGCACCCCTTGATGAAGTTTTCGAGTTTATGGAGTTTTCTAGGATGCAAGATCACGATTTTTGCATGGATTAGGAAGAGTTTTTGATAAAACAAAGAATCTAAGTCATAGATCCAAGCATAACCTTACCTTAGATGAAGAGTTTGTGGAAATATCCTCTTGAAAGCCTCCTAATTTTCGAGATTTTTGAGTGGAGAGGGGGGGGGGGAAGTGTTCTTGAGAGAGTTGGAGAGATATTTGTGTATGTGTGTATGTGTTTCGGCCGAGAGTGAGTGAGAGGGAAAGAAGAAGTGATCTTTGAAGTGATATGCTCCTAGAAGTATGAGAGGTGCATGGAAACATGTTGGATATAAGTGAGGTGGTATGCAAATAGTCAACACTTCTCCATTTCTTCTTGGACTTGGGCCTTGGGCCGAGAATGTGAAAGGAAAAAGAAAATTTGGGCTTTTTGCCTCTAGGCCCAATATTAGAGTTAGTTTGGGTGATCATTGGCCCTTTAAAATAAAATTGTGATTTTTATTTTTCATTAAGCTAGATTAGGTTAATTATGGATCAAGGCTTTTAATTCATTTCA